CCCCAGCTAAATGATTTAAATGTGAAAAAGGAGGATTTAAAAGCACTGATGTGAAGAGTCACATTCGGTTAATTAATTTGTTGAATAAAATGTGCAGATAGGATATATGACCCATATAAATGACGCCGTAAATTCCTCATTATATTAATGCAAAAATGGGATTCAGACTAAATCTCAATGGGTTATTCAGATTAGGAAGACAAATTACTGAATTATCTGGCACCTCTCATGATATCAGGATGATCCAGGACTCTGATGTGCTCAGGTCATGTTGACCAAACATCTGTTTTGGCCATTTGTTTCTTTTCTTTTTTTTTACCTGCACACTCTACATCCAGCCTAACCAGCCGCAGGGTTCCAGGTTTTCAGCAGAGTCTGCTGTTTATATTGAGTGCAGACCCGCATTTCTGAATTGCTTGCCTGGAAAACTTCAAACTGCGCCCTTTAATAAACCAGAGTAACCTTCTTATGTTTTRTTTTATAGTTTGCAATGAGCACGCTTTAAGGCTTTGTGACCTTTTGACCTCTGCGCTCAACAAACACACACCAGCAGCTGCACCCCAGCAGGATTCTGCACCGAACACACACGTCATTCCCGCCACCAGTAGCTGCGWATCAGCATTAATGAAAGCCTTCCCGAGGAGTGATTATGAGGTTTTAATAAGCGGCGGCAGAGAGCCGAGCAGCACTTACGCCCGCGCTCGTCGGCGGCGTGAGAGTCGTGAGTCTCTGAGAGGTTTCTGCGAGCAGCACAAACAGCTGTAAGTCTCACTCCGCAACGCTTCAATCCCGCCGCTGACAGCCCTCCGCAGGACTAAAAGCTGGCTGCGCCACCTGTCAGCTTACACAAAAATAATCTCAGAAGTCAGCAAACTTTACACTGAGCAATCAGCGCGGGAACATACAGCAAATTCTAATTTAAAACACAACCATCCGTGTCCCCGGGCAAAAAATAAACTTGTGCGCTCGATGTCGTTCCGACACGAGAGTTTTCTTTCTTCACCCCCCCTCGCTGCCGCCGCTGCCGCCGCCACCTCGCTGCAAGTTCTTTGTTGACTCTTGGAAAGTGCTTACCTGTCACTGCAGCACAGTTGGCTGTCAGAGCGAGTGTGACACAAGCGAGCCAGAGCAGCCTGCAGCCAGGACCTGCCATCAGTCAGCGGCTGCCACACACACACACACACACACACACACCCCGACACAGAGATGTCTAACTAACCAGTCTCTGAGGTGCACAGTGAGGCCACCCTGAAGCCTCACACACACACACACACACACACCCCGACACAGAGATGTCTAACTAACCAGTCTCTGAGGTGCACAGTGAGGCCACCCTGAAGCCTCACACACACACACACACACACACCCCGACACAGAGAT